GGGGGATCACCTGGCCATGCTTCAACATCGACAGCCGAATATTCATGGAAAAAAACTCATGTTGTGTATTTGGTGAGATCAGCTTAGTGTCGTGTATTATGAGTTGCTCAAACTGAACGAAACCATTACTAGGGCTCTCTACCGAACACAATTGATGAGATTGAGCTGAGCACTCAAGGAACGCGCTGCCCACTACTCCAGGCATGACAAAATTGTTCTCCTGCACGATAACCAAACGCAAAAAGAACTTGCACTTACATTAGGAGCGACTCAACAAGCAATTTCACATCAATAAATGCTTAATTTTTGATAAAAAACAGCGGAAACTTATTTGTACACCTAATATATATATATATATATATATATATATATATATATATATATATACATACATACACACAGATTCTATAAAAGTGTATAACTTACCGATTTAATTATGTTAACTCATCCTTTTTTGTTCTTTGTATTTTCAAAAATGTATGAAATAAAAAAGAAGATATACTTTTCTTTTTACGTTACATTTATAATTTAGTTTTAAATTTGTTTAGAATCTTATATAATACATACCACTAATTAAGCTCATAAATAAAACATTTTTTCTTCTTCGAAAAATTTGATAATTATGATTTATAAAATTTATGAAGGAAATATTTATTCAATCTCTTCGACCAACTCAATTAATCACTGAACATGTCTGATGATAGAACATAAGGGAAAAATGAAACAATGTCATGTTGTACCATATTGTATTAACATATTTTAAATTTTTCTAACAATCGCACTTTTTTATAATATATAAAATATGAACAAAGTGTGTGTTGTGCATATCAGGTATAGTCATAAATTTTCAAAAGTTTAAAATACTTACTGCGATTATTACATACTTTCTCTAAGGACTGTCAAGAAATACAAAGAAATACGTCTGACATTCTCCAAGACTACACGATGACTGGTGTGGCTTTACCTGCAGCGGCTTTAAATATATCATTATCTTCTCCCCACCTATTTAGATACAGGATTAATATCTCAGGTCCTTAACTCTTATGTTTTGTAATCCAAATGAAATATTATGTTTCTTCACATTGGTGATTTATTTGATCATGCAGATACAAGAACGCAAAGTCTGATTTCATTTTTAATTTTTATTATTGGTAGTGTAATAGGAGGAGTTCTAACTCCAGAACTCCAAGGAGCGCGAGGGATTCTTCGGTGATAGGGGTATGCGGGAGTAGCAGTAAAAGCATTACAGATTTTTGGGACTACAATCAGACAATAAAAAACATCACAAAAAGAGAATATTGCAAGAGAATATAAACAAAAACAGTACAAAAAACCAAAAGATTATAAAACAAAAAATACAAAGGATATTCGTCGGATTATGCTCCAACTATTTTTTGACCAAGATATGATGTAATGTAATTTTTCTAAAAACAACATTTATTAATTAAATTCATTCATTTTAAATAAATCAATTAAATTAATTTCATTTTAAATAAAAAGTTTCATGATTAATCGATTGAATGCCAACATCTAGCTGCTATCGAAATCGATGATATTGAAACGTAATGTCTCCCTCTCTTAATAAAAGAGCCTCGATCGGTTATTCTTTTTTGGGAGGAGACATGATAATCGAACATGTTTTTGTAATATGTTTCAAGGTTAGTAGAAGTGTAAATAAAACTCGATAGAATTGTAGTTTCATAAATTTTTATGAGAGTAAAATTTTTTGAAGCATACTTTGAAAATGAGCGCACAATGCTCTACTCTGAAAAGAGGAGGTTATAGACGAAAATAAATTCAGTCTAGAAATGTGCCAGATTATAGTACGTTGAAATCTATGAGAGCGAACTCATCTTACTGTTAGTAAATCGTTGTAAACAGATGTAGATCAAGATTTCAGTCTAGCAGATCTGTTGAAGCGATCTCACCAAATTGCCAATCTTACAATAGACATCAGTAAGTGTAATTCAAGTGTAATTCACGTAGGATGTCACTTTGAAGTGCCGCGAGAGATAATGACAAAGAAAACGGTGATTAACGTGCGATCGATGGACAATGCATGCTTCGCGTGGTCGGTGGTCGCCGCTCTGTACTCAGCCGAAAGAAACGCGGATTGCGAATCTTTCTATCCACACTATATGATGGTGCTAAATTTCCAAAATATAGAATTTTTTCCTTTAATGTTAAAAGACGAACGAAATTCGGACGTCTCGACGATGTATCCATTAACGTATACGGTATCGAGGGACAGAAAACGCTAAACATTCTCCTGATACGATTCGCTGATGACAAAAAAAAGAAACATGTCTTTTGCAAGATCCGCGATAATGTGAACCATTTCGCATGGATCAAGAATCTCAACTCATGAGCTCGTAATTGAGTAAACTTCACGTCAAAAGTATATTTGCGATCGGTAAGGATATAATTAATAAAAGCGAATTCTTCTTTAAAAAAAAAATTAACATTATTTATTTTTATACAGCTGTTTACATTATTTTTATTTCAATAAGAAATACATTTACACATGATAGATTGCCGACGAATAAACGATTGCGCTATCCGACTACCGAGCGACGACGACAAGTGGCTGAGCTTTAACAACTATAATAGGAAGAAACGAATTCCATTTGTCGTTTACGCTGATCTAGAATGCATCCTCGAGAAAACCGATAGCGATCAGGAAGCATCTACGCGTATGTATCAACATCATCATGTATTTAGCATAGGATACTACGTGCGCTGTTCGTACGACGATTCATTATCAAAATATCGATTTTGTCACGATCCGGATTGCGTTTTACAGTTCGTCGAAAAACTGAAAAGTTTAGCATATTGCGTAAAAAAATTTTAGCAGCTAATGTCCCCATGGAAACTTTGTCGAGCGAATAGTGGGAGACATTGCGCAGCGCGATGCATTGTCACGTGTGTAAAATGCCTTTTGCGCTAGACGATAATTGAATAAGCGATCATTGTGCCATTTAACCGCTCATTACAAGGGTCCCGCGCATTCAAAAATTGCGATTTAAATTATAAAAACTCATATTTTATTCTCATAGTTTTCCACAATTTATCAAGCTATGATTCACGTTTTATTATCAAAGAAATAGTTACAGCATATGAAGGCAGTATAGAATTACCAATAAAGGAAAAATATCATTTACAAAAAATGTTAAAGATACCGCTGAAAGATCAAATTCGCGAAATAATATAAAATTATGGTTCATTGATTCTTATAAATTTTTAAGTACCAGTCTCGACAAATTAGCATCCTTTCTCAATAAAAATGAATTTCGAATTTTACAATGCGAATTTCAAAATTTGTCCGAAAAAGATTTCGAGTTACTGATACGAAAAGAGATTTTTCCATATGAATATATTGATTGCGCTGACAAGCTACAAGATACGTGTTTACCATCGCGTGAATCATTCTACAGTTCCTTGATCAGTGATATTATATCCGAAAGCGATTACGCGCATGCCGTGAACGTTTGGCAACAGTTCTCTGTTCAAACCTTGCGTGAATACAGCGATCTATATTTAAAAACGAACGTGTTGCTATTAGCCAACATATTTGAAAATTTTCGCGATTGAAAGTTACGGTCTCGACCTTGCGCATTATTATACTTTACCAAATTTTATGTGGGACGCTATGCTGAGACATATACGCGTAAATTTCGAACTGCTCACTGATATAGATATAATGATGTTTATCGAACGCGATATAAGCTACGATCTTACAAATCAAAGTTCCAGCAGGTACGCGCAATAACAAATATAAGCAGTCGTACAACCTGTCGAAATCTTTTCTACGTACTTGATGTATTTTGATGTTAATTATCTATACGGATGAGTGATGTGTCAACTGTTGCCATACGCCAAATTTCGAAAACGTCTCGGACTTCGACGTTAGCGATTGCTCAGGATTCGCCTACAAGTTACGTTCTTAAGGTCGACTTAAAATATCCGGAACGTCTATACACCGACATACACATTGACTTGCCATTCTGTTTAACGCGTGATAAATCACCTGGCAAGCAGCAGGAAACTTTTAGCGACTGTGTATGACAAAGAATGTTACGTTATATATTGGGTCATCTAAAAAGTATCCGCGGTTTTTAGATGACCCAATATTATCGCAAGTTGTAGCAGTGCATGCGTCATGATCTTCATGTAATAAATATTGATCGTGTATGGCAATTCGCACATACATTTTTATGAAAATACAGAGTTTGTATGAATACTTTCTCCACGAGATACACGTCCGGATAAGCCGCGCGATGGAACTGTGATGTTCATAGAACGCTCCAGAGATAGATTTTCCGCGATAGTCGTCCAGTAGATAGGTTACAGGATCAGTATGCTGCACTTTAGCAATTTTAATAACCTCGGTAATTAAAATTTACTACGTTCCAAAACCGTCCTTTCCGAGGAAGATTTTACTCGAAATATATTATACACGTAACGTATACTATAGCACATAGAGTAAAATCTTCCTCGGAGAGAAAGTTTTGGAACGTAGCTTTGGTGTATAACCCTTTTTGAAGACGATTTTATATTTGCTCACACGGTTTTATATTTGCTCACACCTAAATCACCTATTTTGAATTTCGCGATCTTTACGTTGCTGCATACCAGGCTAAGAGTTTTTCAGCGATCGCGGGGGTAATGTCGATGAGTCGCATATCGATCGTTTGATGCTTGCGTGTGTTATAATCTGATACAAACTGCGATAGCAGCATTGATCCACTTATAGTTAAGACTTCTGACTACTCAGTCAAGAACTCTGCGTTGACAGTAGCGACACAGACGGCGGTCTGGCGAAACCGATAATCATATATTCAAGCACGAGTCCATGTACATACCTGTATTCACCTTCGGCGCGCCGAGAGTGAACGAGACAGTGAACTCCTTCTCACACTAGTCGCATGTTTCAAGCGGTCGAAAATGCTTTTTCAGCAATCTCGGCCGATAAAAATACGGTATTAAAAAATTCTGAAAAATAGAGTTTTATAAAGAGAAAAGAAACAATTTTTTTCTCTTACAGTTTTTCTATAAAGTTGATAGTATTTGAGTAAAAAATTATTGAAGACAATTTTAAGTAATTAATATCTTGTTAACTATTGCGAAAATTGCAAAATAGTAGATGATTTAGTTTAGTTCGCTTTATCTGCCCATGAAATGTTTGATAATTATTTTAGAATGAATAATTAATAATTATACATGTTTATGAATATTTATACGTGTTTAGCATATTTATATATTCATGCATAAAAATTTGTTACCGGGAAGTATTATAATAAAGTTGTTTAAATATTTGTAAACACGTTATTGAAAAACGTTATTAAACTTTTTATTAATAGTTGAAACACAAGGAGAAGGTGAAGCAAAAAGTGAATCTCTATCCAATTATACACTGATATTTCTAACTCAAACTCCTAGTTTAGTTTACTATTATGAAAAAAATATTAAAAATCCGAAATATTTATATTTCGTATTAAAAAAAGAACTTTTGCATTTTTGCCGTATATCGTATAATGGGATATGCAAGCTACTCATAGGCAGAGGGGAGTATCTACAGCTGAAAAATTTACAAATAACATTTATAAATAAGACGTAAAATGATACAATAACTTATAAAATATGTTTACAAAATTTTATTAAGAAATAAGAATGATAAATGGATATCGGTGCATGAATCACAAAAATTTAAATTCTTAAAAGTGCATGCAATATAAAAATTTTTGTATCATTTGTTTTTAATAATTAAAGCATAATGCATATTTTAAAATTTATTAAGTATATTTAGTAAGTATTTATTAGTTTAAAAAAAAACATATTTTTTAAGAAATTATCCATGGTGCCTCATATCCAGGATAATTCATACACAAAATAGTAGAATTATGCCAGAAATAACGATGACGAAAAGTTGAAAAGTATTTTCAATTAATTTACACATTCTTAGCAGTTACTAATACAATAAAATATAATTACAACTAATAATTATTAAATAATAAAATAGAAAGTTATAAGAAAACAAATAAGATATATTTATGTCAAATAATCATTAATATAAGATAAACAAAATTTATTATTAAAATAAAATTAATTACTTAGAAATATGAACTGCCCATTTAGAGTATTGTTTATATATATATATTAGGTGTTGGAATTAATTCGTAGCGTTTTACAAGTGATGGGAAGTACTTTCATTAATGTATTTTTTAATGCTCATGTGAAATAAATAACATTCTTTCATTAAAAAACGCTACGAATTAATTCCAACACCTAATATTTTCTATATTATTCCGTTTTATCATAAATATTCATTTTAATATATGCTCTATGATATCCCAACTATACATTTAATTATACATTTAGAAAATTATAAAAAATAAATGTTAGATTATTACTTGTAACATAATAAGTTGAGAAAAGATGCGCAGAAACTTGCACCTTATTTTAATAAATGTTCTATTACAAAAACAATTAAAATATTTTTATGCGGTTAAAAAGTTATTATTAAATCACGAAAACAATTAATAGTCGATGCTTTTCGACAATGGAATTTAATTATTGCCACCTAAATAAAAAGTATGGGTAACGAAGTAACAGTTATATTGTACCAGTCATATTAATTTAAACATTCTAGATTATGTTAAAATCGATGACTTATATTGGTATTCCGTGATCCATGGTGCCCCGGTCCCCTATATTAATTAATAAATGATAATTACAATCTTCCTACATATATAACAAATGTTATTACAAGAGGTATATAGTTCATATAATTTATTGCATTTAATGCGCTCAATCTGTGCACTTCGAGCATAAATCCCGTCCATTAAAAATACTGTATATCCCAAACAGGTGCGCTCTATCTGGCGAATTAAATTGAGTTGAAAAGTCTTCTACTATTTTGCAATTTTCGCAATAGTTACAAGATATTAATTATTAAAAATTATCGAAAATTGGTCTTCAATAATTTTTTACTTAAATACTTTACTGGCAACTTTTTTTATCAACATGAAAAAATGCGGCATTAACAAATTCTGAAAAAATTCTCAGAATTTTATGGGAAAAAAATAATTTTTGTAACTTGCTGTTTTTCTGTAAAGTTAATAGTACTTGAGTAAAAAAATATTGAAAATCAATATTCGACGAGTAATTAATATCTTGTTAATCATTGTGAAAATTGTAAAATGATACAAGATTTTTCGACTCAGTTTATTCCGTTCTATCTACGCAAAAGCAGTTTGGCAAAAATTGAGGAACATCCTGTATATATTAGATCAAATTAGACGAAATATTCTACGTATACATCTATTTAAACTTTGCAGTCTATGTCAGACTGCTTTTGTTTTCCTTTTAAAGAATTTTCTTTAGACATTTTAAATAATATTACAAGGTCTTCCGTCTTAAACTAACTATAGTTACGATAAAATAAAACAATATCCATCCCACAACTATTATGAAACCAATATAAACTTGTTGTTCAAATACAGAATAACCTTTGTAGATTATTCCTCTCATAGATATAGAGGGCAAAGTAGTTGGTAATATATAGCTGATCCATCGAAGCTCTTTTGGCATTCCTTCTATTGGCCATATACATCCTATGATTTTATGAATTAGTATATTTAATTAATAGTATATTTAAAATTAGTATATTAAAAAAAATTCAACTACAGTAAATGATAATCTTTCGTTAAATGTTATTAATTTTAACTAAACGTTTACTAAAATTTTTTATATTATTTACGACATTTGTTAACAAAATTATCGTAATGTAAATTTATACTAAAATTTTGCTTAATTTCAAGTAAGCATAACTTCATAAGAAATTGACGTATTTAAAAGTTTTTTTTTCAATCTCATAATGATAGAGGCTGTACTTTAAAAAATTTTTTATAACTTTTGAATTTATTCTTACTTCCGCCTATCATCTTTCCTAAAGGAAAAAGGTATCACGTCTTTAAAAAATTACATAAGTTTAATACATCTTGTGGTAAAATGAACTTTTTTTACAAATATTATGATATAATCTTTGTAAAGTATGTATTGTACTTTTTCTTGTAAATTAAGAAAAATAAAGCTTTGTATGATTTTTTTTGTTACCAATGTTTTACTTATGCATTTTTGTTCAATTTCCTCCAACATCAGCATTAACCAATGCGCATCATAAAAAGGTTCCTATTCGAATTTTGCATATCGTATGCGCATGGATACGTTTGCCCTTTAAAATCTTATATTACTGTCTCGTCTTTGAATAATTTCGTGCAAACGCTTATATATGTGTATTAATATAAGTTTTAATTGTGGCCTGAGGAACATATTCTTTAACATATGTGGTGTAATGCTAGTTCAAGATTTATTGATAGTTTTTTCAAACTTTATAGCGTTCTTCCCATCATCTCACACACATGAACGAATTTAAACCAAACTGAAGTAAGCACTGTACCACAAGTGCTGTTAGTACATACTTCTAATTACAGTATTGTTTTTACTGAAGTTTAAATTCTATCATGATATGCGTGAGATATAATGGAAAGAAGATTACAAAGTTTGGAAGGATCCCCAATGAACTAGAAGCAGTACTACACCAAATATAGTGGAAAACTTCTCAAATCACAATTAGTGCTTGCATTAACATATAGCAAGAAATTATATAAGAACGAGGCAGGAATATAAAATTATAAATGATCTGGATCGTAAGCAGGATACCAGGTAAAAAGTCATCCTGATAAAATGAGTTGTCTTTTATACTTTTACCAATGTCAAATTTTACCAATGTCGCGATCTCGTTATAGTTCGGCTCGCTATAGTTCGGTTTGCGGATTGTCAATCGGTATCCTCACGTGTCTGAAAGACAGCGATCGGCGGTATTCGGTCGCCTTCGCGTTACTTCAGTTGGTATCTGGGCACATTATATTTTAAATTAACAGGGACGATGCTGTTCTCGGAGGTACATCGTTACATCATTATGAAAAAAATATTAGAAATCCGAAATGCTTATTTTTCGTATTAAAAATGAACTTTTTGAACCTTGCATTTTTGTCGTATATCTCATAAGGGTGAGATATATGGTTATTCATAGGGATATGTACGGCTCATAAAAAATTTACAAACAATATAAATAAGACGTAAAATGACATAACTTATAAAATGAGTTTATAAAGTTTTAAAGGAATAAGAATGATAAATATGTATATGAAGTAATAGATAATAATTAAAATCTTCCTACATATATTACAAGTGTTACAACATGAGATACATATTTCATGTAATGCGTTTTAGTGTAATTGCATTTAGTGCACTGAATTCAATCTGCGTACTTTGTATGCTTTCGGCATAAATGTTAAAAATGTTGTATATCAGATGGGATAAACAAACTAAACAAAGAAAGCAAAGCACTTGTATTTTGCTTACATACAACATGCTTTACTATTCCTCTACACGTATGTATTACGAAATAACTACTAAGTCTTTTACACGCCCTACAGTAATTATAATATTTTATATAGATTATAATTTATGATGGCGCTACTTATTACAGTGACAAATCAATTCAACTTACAATAATTTCATTAATATTGACAATAAGAAGCTGAAATCATAACACAATACTAATATAACATAAAGGTATGTAACAGAATAGTTGCGAGAAAACTACCCCCACTCCTTCTATTTTTTCTTACTTCTGCGGTGTAAATTCCAGCGCGTATTTGCCGGAGTTACCCTAAGTAATTTTAATACGCTGCTGCGCCGTGTCTCCGAAAGAAAAACTCAGTTTTATTTTTTTTTTAATTTATAAAAAGTCTATACTTTACGACTATTATGATATTTGCGAAAAAAATTTATTGTACCCCACAAAGTGCAATCAAACTATGCAATTTTATAAAGACGTATTTTATAATACGGCCTTACTTTAGAAAAAATAATGAGCATAGAGATAAATTTAAACTTTATCGAAAGCTTCTTAAAATACTTTATACTTGAGAATGAAAAAAATAAAAGTTTAATATCATTTTTTATGGAATTATGCTTACTTTAAATTATTTTGATATAAATTTATGTTGCGATAATTATATTGACAAGTGTATTATACTTATTAATATAATTTTAAAAATAATCTTATCTAATTTCTGAAATAATCATATTAATAACGATATCATTTAACAGAACTAGATTGAAATAAAAAGTAAATTTTGTGAAACAAAGAAATAAGAACTTACCACTACAGAATATTAATACGACAAAGCTTCCAATCGAAGTGAAATTCGCCATTATGTAATCTTTCCACATAATAGAAATTACGAAACCTAAGAATACATTTTAACACGAATAATCAATTTAATTTTCAGCAATTTCTAAGGTGTAATTCTTTTGATATATCTATATAATATGGAGTATTTACCGTACATCAATCCACAAAAACCCATAAGAAATGTGAGGATTATTATGTCAAATATTGATCCTTTACATTCCAATTCCCATATAGAAAAGTATAAGAGCATTATCATAGCGGTGTGAATGATTATGATGATGCTCTGAATAAGAATATGAGACACTAGGATTTCATCTGTTTTGACCCCTGTCGCAAATTTACATTATTATTATAAATAAAAGAAATGATAAAGAAGTAATTCTAAAACTAATTTTGGACTAAATTAAATAAAATACCTTGGACTATACTTCGATTCCAAATACCCTCTAATCGATCTGCAATTATCAGGGAGGTAGAGACTGTATTGGCTAAACTGAAGATAAGTCTGTAAAGATAAATAGTTTAGTAACAGCAACTGATTTCGTTTATTATGTTGAACTGGTTTTTGCTTACATTAACATGAATGATGGTGCTATGAAATCTGCATAATTGAGATCTGTCGTACCATAAACGGGTTTTTCAAACTGAAAATAATGTAATTTTATTCATTTTGGTTCTACACAAGAAGAAAGAGTTCTATATATAGAGAAAGAGAAAAGAGAGAAATTAAATATAATAAAATTATAAAATATTCTTACTCGAATTGGCAGATTGGCCAATTTTGGCGAATATTTGCAATCTTTCATAACTTCCTCATAAATTTCTAAGAAACGATAGAATAACTTGTTTTGTATATGTAATCCAATTAGCATATCTATAACAAGGCTATTGTGAATTTATGTATTTTAATATCACTAATAATTAATTTGCGTTTATTTTTGATAAAATATTCGTGATTTACTATAATATTCTTTTGATCTTTTTGTATAATTTTTTAAATAATATTTTTTATTTGAGATTTTAGATATATGAACTAATTAAATTTTTAATTTATTACAGAAACTGTATAATACATAAATTACATACCACTCATATCTAGAAAAACTTGAATTTGACTGGCAAGAAGATCGGAATCCTTCGCTGAAGTGGCATCTTCCATTCGTATCTGAAGAGCTTCGGAAAAGTTTTGACTAAAATACATTAAACCATTGAGTTTTTCATTTTGTACGGCATAAGTCGCCTCGTAAATATCGTCATAATATTTCTGAAACGGTATATTATAATAGTAAGAATTTTTGTGAGATACACATCAACTATTTAATTATTGTTATTCCATTCTTTTAATTTATATTGAAACGTTTTGAAAGAACTTAATTTATTTTGATTTACTGTCAATAAATTGGCGGAAAAAGCACACTAAGAAAATAAGCATTATTAAATATGCATATATATATATATATACAATAGGTACTGATCGTTATTGGTCTTTGTCATTGTACCTGTGTTGCGATGGAGTCATTAAAACTATGCAAGAACCTACAACTCAGGTTACTAAAGTGGCAAGTAATTTCGTCATTCCAAACATTACTAAAATTGTTGTAATCGCAGTTGCCAACTTCATCATTGACAACCGCAATTTTCAATCCTTTTGGATCTTTACCAATTGCGACAATAAATATGCTGACTTGGATTATCGGAAACAATATTGCATACACTAGTCCTCTGAAAAATATAATATGTACCTATTATTATTATGAAATTGTGTAAAAAAAATTGATATGTAAATTTGAATTATTTGAAATATAATATTTTGTATAAACAATGATTCATCAATGTTGTACAAATATAATAATAAAACTGACAAAATTGGAAATTATAATGAATTTTATTTTGTGAATGTATAAAGTGTATCTCTTCTGTAAAGAAATTAATTACACTGTAGTGTAATTTAAAAAATTTTAGTAATTTTTTTGTTTTTCAACAAAAAATAAGTATTTTTTATTAAGAGTTTTATGGAACTTTGATAAGACTCTTTATACTAAAAAAAATATGCTTTTAAATAATTCCATCATCCTTTAATTTCTAGAAACTCGTTTCGAATTTCTTATGTGATAATAATCATATTTATGTAATAATAAATAAACATGATGATAAAATGTTCCCTTTATGAACAATTTTAAGTGATATATTAAAATATAATAAAATTTAATAGAAAACATCTAGTGTCAAAAAATTATATTAATATACATATAATTTTTCTATTTTTTAATTTGAATAGTAATAAGTATTTTACTTTGTAAAATAAAGTAAAAAATTGCAAATTGTTGAAATTTCTAGATTTTTCAAAAATAAAAATTTTATTTCTTAAAATCTGTGAGTGATGGAACTTTTTTAAACATATTTTTTTTCAGCAACTAAAAATATATAAGAATCATTTAAAAAATAGAAATAGAAATCTTATATAATATTATAACTAGTATTATCAATAAATATTTACCCATAAAAACGTAAAAATTGATTGCCATTCTTCGTTAATAAAGCTGTGAATCTTCTCAATCGCGAAACTTGGCGCTTTGAAACCGGTTTATACTCCAAGGTTGCCTTAACAAATCAATTTATTTGTATTATAAAATAATATATTTAAATAGCTTTTTATAACAATGGTTAGCATAGATCATTTCTATATGTACTTTTGTTTGTTCATATTGATTTTGGTTTTGATACGAAACGTCACTATCAATATCTTCCATTTTAAATTCCTGAGCGTCATTTAAAGAAGCTGTATTATCCTGTGCTTTGCACAGTTTCAAGAAAGTCTCCTCCAAAGACGAACATTGAAATCGCTCCAGTAATTTCTGCGGTGTTAATTCCGTCAACATTTTACCATGTCTCATTAAACCGATCTGCATAATATTGAAAATACATAATATTAAATACATCATTAAGCAAAACAAGATTTAAAAAAACATTAAAGAATAGTTTTTTAAAATTTTATAATATATTTTGTATTGATTTGACATGGATATTAAAACTAATTTAATAAACATAACACTCACTTTATTAGCATCTTTAGTTTCTTCGATGTAGTGCGTTGTGATCAGCACGGTGGTACCTTCCTCCTGCGTAATCTGAATCATATAGGCCCAAATGCTACAAAGAAAAAGTATAATTTATTTTTATATTATTTTTTACTTATCGTATCTAAAAAGGAAGCAAAACCTACTTCTCCCTCAAAATTGGATCCAAGCCCACAGTGGGTTCGTCCAGGATTAAAAGTTCGGGCTTGTGAATCATCGCAGCGGCAAGAGAAATTCTTCTCTGTTGATCTCCACTCATGTTTTTTATTAGGCGATTTGTTGGAGGTAATTGCAATAACTCCGACAAAAACCTTTGACTCGTCTCTTAGAAATAATACAGAGAAGCTATAGTTGTTTCGAAATCACCCAAACAACACGAGTGACTATTTGTCGGCTTATAGTCGACTTTTTTCCAGTCGGCATGTAGTCGACTGTTGAAAATTGACTTAAAATCGACTGTTTCTAGACGTAGAGTAAGTCGACATTCTAAGTCGTAAGTCGACTGTTAATCAACTATTAGTCGACATTCGTGTTGTTTGGGCAATTATATAATACTAAAAATATCTTACGTACAAATAATTTAAAATAGAAATTAGAACCGTTTAAAAGATATTTTAAAAAAGATATTTTAAAATGTTTTATAAAACTAAAACTTCTTAGAATACATTTTGCAACGTTTTGCATGCAATTAACACCAGAACAATTTTCCTATCCATTTTCCTACCAATCTCCTCATTGTCGAGCCCGTTAATTCTGCCGAAGTAATATAGAGCACTACTCATGGTGAACTCTTCGATTAAGGAGATCTCCTGCGGCATGTAACCTACTTGAGGCCCAGGGATACCGGAGTCCTTGCTGCCCGGATTTCCTCCCAAAACCCACACTTCTCCGCTGTCGAGATATCGAATTCCGACAATGCAAGACAGTAGTGTGGTTTTTCCACATCCGCTGGCTCCTAATAGTCCATAGCTGTTTAGAGGAAAGATTTCGATTGCACGTGCTTTATTTTATTTTAGACAACACGTTCAAAAGAGGTTTTCTTATTAGACTTTTTATCTGAATATTCGTAGAAAAATATACGATTATGTCGTGTATTTTGCAAATGGTGCCAATTTAAATAATTGATGAATGTAACGCGAAAAAGTGTGTGATAACATTTTTAAGCAATTTTCAATATATCAAAGGAAATTATCAAATTGACACAAAAGATATTAATATGATAAGTTATACTGTGTATTAAATAATATTAAAAATCGCATAAACTAATTGCTTTGCTTTCTTTCTTATACATATATCTATAATGGCATCTTCTCAATAACCTGTTTTGAAAAACTTGAATTATTTGTTTACAACTCGAAGTGAAAATGAATAAAAAGATGATCTTTTATATAGACATGATAAATAACAATTACTTACATGGAACCTCTTGAAACAGTCATATTCAGGCCATTGAACACCAATTCTTTCTGATAACGCTTTATAGCGTTCCTTACAATCACTGCCTCTTGCTGCACCATTTTGCGGAATAGTATGATATAATAGTAAATAAATGTTTAATATCACCGTAAATAAATTGTAATAATTTTTTGCTCAGATAATTTAAAGTCGACCAAGGGTTTCCTGCAACGATTAATTTTTTTAAATGCAACTTCTTTCGAAAATATTCTTTTAGAATTTTTTATATTTGAAATTTATGAAGATTTTTTTCATAAATACGTTATAATTTCTCAGATTTCCTAAGCTTTTTTTTAGAAATTACACAGAAAAAACAATGGTTGTAGATACTATAATTAAACTATAATTTGTAGTCATTTTTTGAGTCAAATATAAAATAGAAATGCCTATAACGGTTGAAGCTGGATCTTTAATGCCTAAATAATTCAATATGAATTATATATAAAGGAAATTCGTCGATACTGACATAGATCTCCTAAAGTGACACTCTCTTATTTCTCAGAAATTAATTGCACTTTATTACTAATAAAATCATGATCTGTTTAGCTAATTAAAAAAGTACTTATTAAGTAAGTAAATTCTCATAATTCGTATATTCGTGGCTCGTTTTTATACCAAATCAGCTAAAAACGAATTCTAGGAATATAAAAAATAAAATTCTTACGAAAATAAAATTCTTACGATTTTCTTTTGAAAATTACATAGTTTAAATAATAGTGACTATATTATTGATAACATTATATCATTTGTAACATTTGTAATTTCCTAAATTAGTTTTATTTATATTATTTTTTCTCTTAGTTTTTTCGTAATACGATTTTAAAATTAAAATTCATAGGGTGTACCGCCACATCTGTTTGTAAAACAGATCATGAGCTAACTTAACCTTTGTAATGTTGCCTATATTATAGTATCAAATAGCTCTATTGGAACTGAAGACAATCGTGCATTTATGGAAAAACTCTTAAAATTATCGCGTTATTATATTATATTTGCATTTTACAGAACAACATAAAGGAAATATGCGTATTTAATTCAATAAAAATGTTTTGTAACAAATTACATTTTCTTATGCATTATGCAAGAATCTGTGCTCCTCTCCGCTTTAGTTTCACAAATTCAGTATTGTTTGTGTACGTAATGCGCTGAATGCTGCACTATCGTTTGGTCAATACGAACTATAAAACTTTTGTATTACCCAGTAAATGAAAATGGATTGAAATGAAGATCAAATTTTCAGAAATACGGATTCATGAATATTAAACTGAATCCTGAATGTATTTTTATAGGAATTGCATAGAGTATATCTTTAACGCCGCGTCACCGTGCCGTATCACAACTACGAATAGAGGAGAAGCGTTGGACCCATAATGGAGGACAAGCACGAACGGGCGAAAGGCAAGAGGATTAAGGGATCCGCGGTGCTCTTTGGAAAGCTCTGATGTAGCAGGTAACATAGAAGATTCATAATCCAGAGATCCTAGATTCGAATTCCACTAAGGTGCGTTTTTTAATATCAATTTGAAGTAGTTAATTTCAGATATAATTATTATAAATTTTTTAGGAATAAAATTTATAACCCTTAAATATGAATTTTTTTTTTCGAATATTAAATTAGTGTCAGCTACGGATCCAATCCATTTCAATCCATTCAATCTATTTTCATGGATTTAAAATGTGCATTAAAAAAATTTTAATCCATTTTAATTCATTCTCGTTTGCTGAGTAAGGAACATCTACATCAGATGACAGCTCTACGGATTGAAAAAACGTAAGTTTTGAACTTTTTTTCTGATTTTAATATAAAGTCTATTGTAGCACTCCCAAATTTTGCATCTACTTTAATCGTATAAAAAGATTTTTGACTTCGTAAATTCGGAGATTTATATCGATCTGCAAAATTCTGGCAATTTGGCTACTCCAGTATCTTCTTAACAAAAAAATATTATATTATAATGTTTTAAAAAGCTCTCGAGGTAAGCTACGCGAATATGCAATAAAAAATCAGAGATTCCATTTAAAAAAAGGTGATGTTGCTCTGACTTTGACGTCACGTATTAGCAAACCTATAATACCATTTTATGTCTCCCTTGAAGTCACGTAACTTTCGTCTGAAATTTTTTTTAATCTCACATCTCCTTCTCGAAATATTGTAGTGTATCAATTAAAATAAAATATCCTGTATATATACTTTGAAATTTTAAATCCACTTTATTTCGTTTGCATCCACTTGCCTCAGTGATTCCTGTATAAGCGTATTTAAAATTTGAATCCGCGCGCAAAGGGTCGATGCGCTCAAGATATACGTATTCAAGATTCGTGGTTTTCGAGTTTTCAGAGAATGCATTTCCATGATTATCTTTTCCATAGTAAATTTATCATGCTATAATTGCTATAAAGAATCCGGATATTTGTTCGCGTTCTCATTTCGTGCATGAAGCATCACTGGTATGTGAGTGAGTTGAGCGTTCGCTGAAGTGAGAGCGGTGATGTCCTTCGGAATTATTTATAAAGATCTCGAGATTGAAATTGATATCGGTTTACGTAATAAAATTGTTCATATTAATTATTTCATCTAAAGTCATGCATCAGAGCATTGTGCGCCGCAGAATAAGATTTATTCTACAGATGTGCGAATCATGGTTTTTTTTACTTCGAATCGAATTCGAATCGAATCATAACTTTTAACTTTTTAACAGTATAATTGTCAGTTAAAATCTAATATGTAGATAATAAAATTATTTATATATATTATTTATATAAAAAAAACTAATTATATATGATGTAGTTATTTTAAAATATATGTACAATATTTAAATATTAAATATATAACTATAGTTACAAATCAATAACCAATATGAATCTATACGCTATATGTGCAATTTATACGTGACGACTATAACTTGGCTGACATAAAAGCCATTGACTAGAAGGATTTATGTATGTATGTGCGCGTGCGTGTGTGCATGTGTGTGTTTAAGATTGTCAATGTATGTGATTTTTATATTTAAATACCTTAGTTCAGTATTCATAGTAAGTTCTTAAGACATTACTTAAGATAGTTTTAAAATAAGAACCGAATCAATGAAATCGAATGAGTACCGGCCACATTTTGATATTTTCAAATAGTTCATGTTCAAATCATACCGATTCAAATTAAAATAGGATCGAATCTTAACTGATTCGATTTGCACACATCTCTAATTTGTTCTCAAGTATTAATTTTTAAAAGACTATCAAATCGTTAGTTACTGCAACACAACGCACATATTTTCGCCATCTATAATATAAAATTATAGAAACAAAAAAATTAAATGTCGAAATAACAAAGTAAATTAATTAAACATTTTAACAATGAATATCAAGAAAAATAAATTCTATGCCTTTTTCTATATATTTGACATAAAAGTCTATAAGTTTTTCATGAATTTCACATGATTTAGTTAAAAATACATAAAGAAACTTATTTTTAATAACTGTTCTCCAAAGTAAATAATATCTGTTTTTTCAAATTTCTAATCATATAATTATATAACCAACATTAAGAGAGAAGAGAGAGAGAAGCCACTATTCTGTAACTCTTAATAATAGTAACAATATCATTATATTATCGTTGCGCAATTTATTTACTATGTAAATCTGCGTAACGACAGTGTATCGATATGTTGTTAGTATCATTAAGAGTTACAAAATAGGATCCTAAATATGCGTAACAGGCTTTTAGATATCATACCCGGAATGGTTGCTACAATGTTTATTATTTTTTTATTTGACTAGATATTTAGAGAAAAACATTAGAATTTATTATTATTTTTTTTTTATTATCATTTTTTTTTGCGAACAGTATATGCAGCACATATGTATACCTAACCATAGGGCAATTCATTCTTTCTTATTTACATTATTTTAAATTGTTTTAATAAGTACAGTTAAAAGATTTATAAATCAATCACTGATATTATTCAGATCGTATCTTAAGCTATTACTTAGGACAGTCTTAATAAAAAAAAACCATGAATGTCGACTTTGATTGCAGAACGAAACATCAAAAAATTTTAATTTTGAGAAAAATACCGAACGAACGACGTGATAGCTTCATCAAAAATTTATTTCCGCATTGATTCGGTGTTAATAAATATAATAGATTTGATTTTTAAGAAAGAAATTGATTCAGTGTTGATAAATATAATAGATTTGACTTTTATGAAAGAAATTGATTTTTATAATAAATCGTAAATATAAAAAATGAAATGATTAAGAAATATATAAATAAGAATTAAATATGTAAATAAGAATAAATATGTATGTAAATATGTAAATAAGAATATGTAAATAAAAAAATATGTAAATAAGAATAATATGTATATTTTTTCAAATTATCTTTTATATTTATTATACATTCTGTCAAAAAAGTACCGGGAATTGGTCAATAAAACACAAAATAGTTATTATTCATTCAAATTTATTGTATCGCCTTCAAAGTAGGCTCCTTTCGAAATAATACATTTATGCCAACGAATAATCCAATCATCAAAACATTTTTTAAACGCATTTTCCGGAATCGACTTCAGTTCTCGCCGCGAATTCTCTTTTATGTCTTCTATCGACTGAAAACGAGTGCCTCGAAGTGGTAATTTGAGTTTTGGAAAGAGAAAAAAGTCAGCCGGAGCCATATCTGGTGAATACGGTGGTTGTTCGATGATATTTGTTGAGTTTTTGGTCAGAAATTCGTTCACAATGATAGCCTTGTGAGATGGTGCGTTATCATGGTGCAAAATCCATGAGTTTGTTTTCCACAATTCTGGCCTTTTTCGACGAATTTGCTCTCTCAAACGCCGCATAACGCCCAGATAATATTCTTTATTTACCGTCTGACCTTCTGGCAAAAATTCCGAGTGCACAACATCACGACAATCAAAGAAAACAGTTAACATCACTTTGACTTTTGATCGACTTTGACGTGGTTTTTCACCACATCTCGACCGCTTTTCAATGCACTGTACCATTCATATGCACGTGTTTTTGATAAAGTCGATTCACCGTAAGCCTTCTGTAACATCTTCAGCGATTCGGCACACGAAATTCCATTTGCAATACAAAATTTGAGACAAATTCTTTGTTCGATCTTTTCATTCATTGTAAAAATCGCAAAACACACTTGAGATGAACTGATAAAATCGAGCACTATAATCACATTAAATGACAGATGGCACTCCAACTCTGCGTCAGTATAGAGGACAGTTATGCCAACTTAGCGAGAAAAAGAATTTTGACAGTTCCTTTAAGCGGGCTTTTTAAATGATCAATTCCTGGTACTTTTTGACAGAATGTACATACCGAAATAATTTTTATATAAAGTATAATAAAAATAAACGTAAAAAATAAAAAAATCATCATCTATTATCTGAATGAGTTAATCTATTTTTGCGAGACATTAATGTATATAAATTATATACTATGGATTTAATAGATAATTAATCCATAACAGCAATTATGTAGCACATTATGTAACGTTTACATTATTTTTCAAAGTACTTGGCACAATTAAATTATTATAGACACATAGATAATATTAGTGGAATATTTCAGAAAACATTTACAATAATTCTCGAAGAATCTAATCGCTAACATTTCTTAAAGTAGAAATTCCTTAAAGTGGAAAAACTCGAACGTCTTATACTAATTATTTGAATTAAAATTGCGCAACTCCAATGATTTAATCATTATTGTATAATAAAAACTTAATCTTCTATATATAAATTAATTATATCACGCATTTAAAAAAAAGAAGGAATCTCTATAAATATGTATGTAATTCGTGCTAATAATGTTTAAATAATTCAATAACTATTTTAAAGATGTAAATTTATTTAGATTATACAATAGTTATAGAAGCGTCTAGAACAAGTCAACAGAAATATTCTGACTAAATGTACCTAATTGCTTATAAGAAATTATATTTAAAATTGTTTTCTTTGTATGTTACACAACAATTCCTCGAGAATTATGATTTAATTAAAATAAATTTAAATGATGATTTGATTTTACGAATTAATTAAATTATGTCTATATCCCTGCTTAATCGGATTTTCAAATCTGATATAATTTACAGATATTATTTTATAAGAAATAAAAAATAGAATAATAAAATATTCTAAGTGAGAAAAATAAATCTAATGAAGTGTTTAGTAATGAAGTGTATTAGTGTTGCAAATGTAATAAATACAAAAATATACTTAATAATACTAATAATTGTAACAAGATTATTTACACTTTTTTTTAGGAACTCAGCTTATTGGAAGACTTGCTTTTCTCAAAAATGCTTTACTTTTGAGATATTCGACTATTTACAGACTTTTTATGTATTCTGTATAAAATACAATAATATGCATTTATACAGGGTGTCCCGTAACACTTTTGCCAAGCGCTTTTTTGTAGATAAAGCAGACTAAACTGAGTCGAAAAGTCCTCTGCTATTTTGCAATTTTCATAATAGTTAATGATTAATTACTAAAAATTGCCGAATATTGAATATCTTCAATAATTCTTTACTCAAATACTATCAATTTTACAAAAAAACAGCAAGAGACCAAAATTGTTTTTTGTTTCATAGAGCTGTAAGAATTTTTTCAGAAGTTTTGATCAACTTTTCAACTTTTTAGTAATGCATTTTCTTTTGTGTGTATGTGTGTGTGTGTGTGTGTGTGTGTGTGTGTTGGCAATTGTTTTTATGAACATAGAAAATAGAGAAAATACATAAAAAAATAGAGAAAGTCAGTATTAAAAAGTTCTGAAAAAATTCTCAGAACTTTATGAGAAGAAAATAAGTAATTTTCGTCTCTTGCTCTTTTTTCTGTAAAGTTGGTAATATTTGAGTAAAAAATTATTAAATATTTGCTCGTAGCTCCTTTTTATATATTGAATTTTAATCTATTGAGTCGTTTTCATTTATAAAAGCTTCTAATTTCATAAGTTTTACGATGTTTGAATAAACATATAAGATAGCAAATCAATTTAGCAAAGCAACGTAGAACGTAGATATGTTTTCAATCCCTTTAGAACTGAAAAAGATCTTTTTGCAGAACAGTTTTATTTTCATTTTACAATATATTCTACATTATTTTATCAAAAATAGCTTATATGTTTCTCTTCGGATTTTCATGTGTAAAATTTCATACGCAGAAAAATTTCAGGTATCGAGTACTTTACACTGTCTACACAAAAGTTGCCGTCTCTGAGTTTGCCACATTATTTGCAGGCATACATGTAATTAGTACTTTTGTCTGAAATGAAAATCGACATATCGTAATATTGTGTAGGTGTAAATCTCTCAACGACTTGGAGTTCTCAGAATCAGCTTTATAAAAAAATCAGAACGGAAATCAATGTCAAAAGAAAATTTATTTTCTTATTGACAACATCCCATATAACATTTTTATGTCTTAAAGACATCTGAAAGTCCCGAAGTTATATTTTAAGACATCTTAAAATTATCAGAAAGGCGTCTTGAAGACGTCTTGAAGACATCTTATGACGCTGTTTGTGTCATCTTTCAGATGTTCTATTTAGACCTCTTAAATCATGATGTCTTTCAGATGTCTAAAAGATGTTTGAAAAAGAAATGTCTTTAGAATTTGACTAAAAGTCATCTTAAAGACGAAAAACAAGTTTTAAAGATTTTAAATAAGTTTTAAAGCTTCTCTAGAATGTGTTATTTTGGGAATGTGTTATTTTGGGCGTGCAATTTAAATTATAATTTAAATTTGAACGAATATTATATATGTAAATATCTTGCTTTCAAGGATTCTATGACATCAACATGGTATCAATATTTCGTAAGAGTGACGACAGTGACTAACATTGTTCATGAGACGTGTGAAGCAATTTGGGATAGTTTGTGTCCTGTAGTTCTTCCATGTCAACTCGAAGAAAGAAACTGGCTAAATATCGCCAAAAAATATTTAAAAAAATGGAATTTTGCTCATTATATTGAATCCATATTTCGACAGAAAGCATACCATCATTCAAGTGCATAAATTCATTAACAATAAAATTCATTAAATAAATAAATAAAGAAATAAATAATAATAAATGATAAGTTATAATTCCTCGTTTTATACTTAATGAGACTTAATGACACTTAATAACACTTAATTTAATATAAAATAAAATATATTTACGATAATATTTATATCCCTATATTCTACAAATAAGTATATAACATGACATGTCATGTATTTCAGTTTTCAGCGATGTTTCGCTATCAATTGAACAATATCGAACTTTGAGCGTAACTTCGCTGTATACGATGGAGCGGGGGGATAAAACACCAGCTTTTATTAGTTGCATGAAATGGTACCTTAAAATCGTTAGAAGCTAAAACGATTTCAACGTAACATTTTTTTTATTAGATATTTAAATTAAGCCTTACATTCGGCCGTCCTGAATTTACTGTAAAGATTATTTAAATAAAATCCTGCAATACTATTTTCATTCACGATCAGTTAGCTATAAAATACCATAACGTTTTAAATTCACTAATTTGATTTTTTTAATTTATTAAAAAAACACTTTTGACGATTTCTGTTCTTTGAATTTTTAAATTGACAAATTGAAAAAGAAAATATAATTATTTTTTTATTTTATCTTTATATGTTTTTTATCCTTAAATATAGTTTTAAATCTATTTAAGATTTCATGCAATACATACCATTAATCAAATTCACAAGTAAAACAATTCTTCTTCTCCAAGAAATTTGATAATTACGATAATTTACGAATATATAAAATATGTTTGATCTCTTCGATCGATTCATTAATTACGAGAATATAAAAAACTGAAACAATGTCGTGTTTTACTTTCTATATTGCATTGAGATATGTATATTGTAAATTTTTTAACACTCGCACTTTTTTACGATGTATAAAACATGAACAAAATGTGTGAAATATATCATAGATTTCACAAATTGTGTATCACAAATTCAAAAGTTTGAAATCCTTATTATGCATATTGTGAATTTTGCTGAGATCAGAAAGACGTCTAATATTTACCAAGGCTACGTGATGACTGGTATGGCTTGAAATCATTTTCTTCTCCCTACTTATTGACAGGATATTTAAGCTTATTAATATTTATACTTCAAATGAATCATTATCTCTCTCCGTATTGGTTTATTTAATTACGTTAGAGGCAAGAATACACACACACACACACACACACACACACACACACACACACATAAAATATATAAAAGTGTTTCTAATCCCCTGCAATCGAGACATACTGAAAGAAAAGATTGGTTGCTGCAACAATTTAGATATTATAGTAAAATATGATATAGCATTGATTATAGCAGCAAATTTTTAGTTGTGTTAGCCTATCCGCAATGTCAGTATATGATTTCGATAGGCTAACGCAATTAAAAATTTACTCTTACAACCAAAAACTGATTGCTGCAGCCATATAAAAATGCTATATCATATTTTATTATCTAAATTGTTGCAGCAACCAATCTTTTTTTTCAGTGTAATTTAAGATTAAATGTTTTATCTCAAATTTATCGAGCCTAATAATTTGTTGATTCGCAGCATAATTAATTAGTAAACCAATTTTTAAAATTATTTGTAATAAGTTTATAACATCATTTATAACAAATTTTCAAAATGCTTTTCAAATGCTTTTTTTTTATTGTATGCATGACATGACTCGACCAATTACGTCATTTGTACTTCGCTCGCATCTCGCTAGCATCTTTTCACTTACAGTTACGAAGACGGAATGTAATTGGACCATCTCTTCTATCGAATTTCTTATAAATTGTAGATGAAGAGATGTAATAATTGGTTGAGCCTCATTATATAATTATATATAAAACATTTTTTTCCTGGTTGTTATAAATAATGTTACAATGTAATAAATAATGTAATAAATAAATAATGTTGTAAATTTGTTATAAATAATTTAAAGAAATGAATTTTTAATTAACTACGCTGCAAAACAAATTATTAGGCTCGATAGTTTCGGGATAAAACGCTTAATCTTAAATTGTAGTGTCTTGATTGCAGGATCAGAAATATTCCTGTATATATTCGAGATTAAATCAGATCTAAATAACGGCTGAATCGATCAAATTCTGAATAGGCTCAAGCTTGAGTTTAAATTATGTAATAAAAATGTTTTTATTTTTTCTCCTATACGTGCCTTACGAGCACCGAGCGGAGGCATCGCGACGTAAGGTCTGAATGTGAATATTAACATTTAAGAAACGTCATCATTATAGTCATTATTAGGGTATCATGTAACTTTTTTCCTAGGGTAGAAACGTGAAAAGTGAAAATTTTTTGTGTGTATATATACATACATATATATATATATATATATATAAAAGTTTTTACTTTTCATGTTTCCACTTTAAAGAAAAAGTTACATGATCGATACCCAAGAAGTACAGGTGTCTCGGAAGCATGTGTCTCAAATATCAAATGCGCAATTATTACATTTTTTATGTATATTTATTAGGTTAGCGGAAAAGTTTTTATAAGTTGGTAAAAAGACTTTCCCCATCAATATCTGTATTAAAAATAATCAAAATTTAAGTTTAAAAAAGAGGTTTTAAAGGTTGAAATCTTTACTTTTAAATGGTTACTATATTTTCTCTGAATTTATATGAGTTTTGTAATTTTTACATATAGAAAACTATGAGCTGAAAAAAATGAAAAATTTTCTTCGTAAGTTTGTAGTGTACAAAAAAAAAACATTTAAACAAATTTTCGATTATTTATCGTGAAAACTTGAAGCTTTCCCTA